AGATGCGTATCGGATCGGCATTATAGCTTAGATGCCCAACCCTAGTATATATATATATATAATGTATATATATGTATATGTATATATGTCCCGAATTTTGCTTGACAATCTTAAGCCAGTTGTAATGGATTGCTTTGGTTCAATTTGGAATTTCCCCAACCAGCGCAGAGCCCAGGGGACTAGAGTGAGTGCTCTGACTTATCCCCCCTTGGTCCATACATAGAACTATTAATCAAAACATTTCATAAGCTTTGGACTATAGTGAAATATAAAAACAGACGAAAGTTAATGTTATAAACAGTGGAAAAGGACTTGTTTTTAGTGTTGTTGCAGTTTATTTGAACAATGATGTCCTCTTAATATGGAATATATATATATTTTTTTGCTTGTATATGCTGTCAATTATAGTTCTTCAGAAAATTATATTTTATATTAGAATGATTAGAACATCTGAATCGGCATAAATCGGTATCGGCAGGTCAAGCATACCAAAAGAATCGGTATTAACTAAGAAAATTGCAATCGGTGCATCTCTAGTACTTTTCTTCTGTCCCCGCTCCACCTTCCAGTATCAGATTTTCAGTGTGAAATGCGAAATATGTTCACCGCTTTCAGCTTATAGCCGTTTAAATCAGCAGCAGTCCAGTGGGACCCTATTCATAGTCTGCATCCGGTCTCAAATCCCTTCTGCTGAAGCATTTATTATTAGACCAGATCACTAGAGCAGCTTCAATCTTACAAAAACGCAGCAGATTTATACATATTTTGGATCTTCTTAATCAAGAGTTTCGTAAATTTTACTAAAGAGCCAGAAGAACAGATCAGCAACATCAGCATCGCACTCAGACTAGCCTGTCCCAGAGCTCAGGGCTCGCCCCTCATAACATCACACACCCTGTGTGCTCATTGATTAGGGATAGAGGCCTTCCTATCATCCATTTCACCTTTTCCAAAAATGTGTCCATTATTCCACCAATTAGGCTCCACAGGTGGAGCTCGAGGAGAAGCCAAGTGTGGACGTGGCCACATCCGTCACCTCCGAGTCAGCCTCTAAGGTCTGCAAACCTTCCAAGCTTGCATCTGTAATCATGTTTAATTCTGAGGTTTAGCAGGATGTGTTTTGATGTAATCTCAATCTTTTATCTCTGACGGCATGTGCAGACGGATAAAGGTGGCGCTGGTGCTCCTCAAACAAAGGTCTTTTTGAGATTGAGTTTTGTTTTTTTGCATCATGGTGGTTTGATGACGTGAACTCTTTGCTTCGTCTGCTGTGGTGTTGGTTAAGTGTTTTTATTTCTGTGCTTGTTCTCATGTGCGTGTTTTATTATTTAAGTTGCAAATGCGGCGTTAATCACATGAGCTCTCTTGAGTAATCAACAGGAGATTAACGTGCTGATTGTTGACTTGTGATCAAATGCTGATTTGCCTGTTGGTTGGTTACTTCAGAGAACCGTGATGCTGATCAGGAAATGTCATATATGCACCAAATTGGATGAGGTTGCATCAGAAAGCCTGAGAGGACATCGGAAGTGTTTTCAATTGGGCGTTTCACTCAAAGTGGCATTCTGACTCCATCATTTGAAAAGCAAACCATGTTAAGTGATGCAAAGACACATTAGCGGTGTTTTCACTAGTGCTCTCAGGCTTTCAGAGTCCTCTGTAATCATTTTCTCCTCATCAGATTTGAGACTCCACTTCATTATCATCTGTCTTTTTTTGTTTTTCTTCTCGTTTTGTTCAAATGTGTTCTCATTTTTTTTGATCCACAGAGCAAGTTGAGAGTGCAAGGGGAAAATATATATGTCAGACATAGCAATTTAATGTTGGAGGTTTGTATGTTGTTCTGTATGCAATCAAAACTATTGAGAAACACAATGAAGTTCAATGAAAGAAAGAGCAAAAGCTTAATTGATGGAGGACATTTGTCCCCTCTCTGGCTACTGTCCTGGGCTGCCTCTCACTCTTCCTCTTTCAGGCTTTGTGTGCATGCTTTAGTGTGTGTGTGTAGTGTGTGTGTACACCCATGCATGGGTTGCATGTTAACTGGGTGATCTGAATGTACGTGATTTTTAACGTTTGTGTTTGTAAGATTTGGGAATTGCTCTGATAACAACACTAATAGCATTTCCCTAACCAGACAGGTGACTTTCTGCTTTGGTTGCGGTGATTGTTTACATTTTATTGTATAACTTAAAGAAGTTACTCATCCTGGGGGTGAACCTGTCGGTGCTGAAGACACACACTCATAACCTCTGAGACAAGCAGACCACTCCAGAACACTCCACAAAGTGCTTTACTTATTTTTTGTCCTGTTTATAATCCAATTATCTAGCGATTGGTCAAGGAAGAAAATGTTGTTTAAAGAAACAAGTCATTAAAATTAGAAAATAAAAATCATTTGGTTTGAAATATGATTATTTTACTTTGGCTATTTTGTTCCACAGAAGTAGCAAGTCAAACCTGATTTTGACGTATTATTACTGAAAAACAAAACAACAATCTTATTTATTTGTTTAGGATAGATAGATAGATAGATAGATAGATAGATAGATAGATAGATAGATAGATAGATAGATAGATAGATAGATAGATAGATAGATAGATAGATAGATAGATAGATAGATAGATAGATAGATAGATAGATAGATAGATAGATAGATAGATAGATAGATAGATAGATAGATAGATAGATAGATAGATAGATAGATAGATAGATAGATTGATAGATAGATTGATTGATTGATTGATTGATTGATTTTGAGGAGTTTTTTATAAACCTGATATTGCTAGTATTACACTACCTGACAAAAGTCTTGTTGCGGATCCCAGTTGTAAAAGCAACACATAATATCTTAAATTCTAGTTGATCATTTGGAAGCAGAAGGTCGATTTTCGCATCAATCATCTGCTGATCTGCATCCCAATCAACACAAATACTGCAGAAGACATACTGGAATCCACATGGAGCCAAGATTCTCACAGAAATCAGTCAAGTTTGGTGAAGGTAAAATCATGGTTTGGGGTTGCATTCAGTATGGGGGCGTGCGAGAGATCTGCAGAGTGGATGATCAACATCAACAGCCTGAAGGATCAAGACATTTGTGCTGCTCATTACATTACAAACCACAGGAGAGGGACAATTCTCCAGCAGGATAGCGCTCCTTCTCATACTTCAGCATCCACATCAAAGCTCCTGAAAGCAGAGAAGGTGAAGCTGCTCCAGGATTGGCCAGCCCAGTCACCAGAGATGAACATTATTGAGCATGTCTGGGGTAAGATGAAGGAAGAGGTGTTGAAGATGAACAGAAAGAGTCTTGATGAGCTCTGGGAGTCCTGCTGAACGCTTTCTTCTTCATTCCAGATGACTTTATTAATCAGTGATTTGAGTCAGTGCAGAGATGTATGGATGCAGTCCTCCAAGCTCATGATGGAGTCAGACACAATATTCATTCTGTCTCCACTGCAGCAGGACTTTATATTCTATACTGGACATTATTTCTGTTCAGTGATGAGACTTTAGTCCAAGCAGAGTCAGACCTTACTGTCCTAATGAAATCATTAATAATCAAGGCATGATCATGTTTTATTGTGCTCAAATATATGTCATCTAGAGGCCTTTGCCTTTCATATAAGCCACTTCTGATACCAAATGATCAACTAGTTATTATTTGCTGTTCCCA